CGTCGGAGGAGGGGGGTGTCAGCGGCGAAGGTGCTGACGAGGATGAGAGCGGCAGCGGAGGAGACGAGCCTGGGGGTAGCAGCAGCGGAGACGAGGAGCGGCAACAGAAACAGCATCAGCACCAGCAGCAGCAGCGGCAGCGGCAGCAACCGCGCAAGCAGGGGCGCGCGACGGCGCCCGGCGCCGCTGACGCGGCGGCCCCGCCCGCCAAGCGGCCCAAGACGGCGCCGCAGCCGGCGGCTGAGGTGGCTGCTGGCGACGACGCCGTGACAGGCGGGTTCGATTTTGAGGATGACTTTTTCTTGCAGGACGGGGCCAGCAGCGGCGAAGAGGCCGCGGCCGAGGAAGGGGGGCGCGGGCCGCCGCGGGCGGCCGGGCGGGGCGGCCCCGCGCGCACGGGCGGCGGCGGAGGCGGCGGCGACGGTGGCAGCGACACTGACGGCAGCTTGGGAGGGAGCGGCGAGTCGTCGGAAGACGAAGAGGCGGCAGGGCCCAGCGACGATGCGGGCGAGGGGCCGCCGGCAGCGGCGCAGAAGCAGTGGGGCGCGCCTCGGAACGCGCCGCCGCAGCGGCAGCAGCAGGGCGGGGGGCCGCAGGGGCGGGGCAAGGGGGCACGGGCGGAAGGCCAGCCAGCGGCCTCGCGGCAGCAGCGGCCCAGCGGCCGCGGCGGCGGCCCAGGGGGCGAGCGCCCTCACAAGCCCAAGCCCTTTGGCCACTCCCCAGGGGCCGGCGGCGGCGACGACGAGCCGCCGCGATGGGCGAGCAAAGACGGCAGCAGGGCGAGCGGCGGCGCGGGGAGCGGCCGCAAAGGCGGCAAGCCGTTCAAGCAGCGGCCACACGGCAAGGCTGCGGCCAGCCCCGCCGCCAAGGAGCCGCTGCGCAAGCGCGCTGAGGGCGGCCGCAAGCGGCGCAAGTGACGCGGCGCGCGCGGCGACACGCGGGGTCTCTGTCGCATGTGGCGCCTCTGCCCACCATGTAATAACCGCAGCTGCAGCTTCGCATTTGAAGGAGTCCTACCGACCACGATTGTCGTTGCCCTTTGTTTTGCTTAGGGTTTGGTGTTTTCGACTGACGGATTGTCAATAGTCCCTCTCGCAGCTCTGCGACGCCAGCTGTTGACCTTCAACACAACACGGGCCTTGGGCACGCTTTGTTACAGCGGGCAGCCCGACGGACACCTGGATCGACATTCCAAAGATCTCGCCGACCGCTCCCGGGACAGCGTCGGCCGAAGCGGGGTGCCCGTGGCTCTGCCGCCCGCAGGACCGCAGCCGCCTCCCGACACCCTCGCAGCCGCCGTCGCCGGCCGCGGAGCCGCGGCCCGGCCGCAGGTCGGCAGAGCGGCCGCCTCCGCTGGAAACGCCTCAGCTGCAGACTGCGGCCTTGGCGCGGCGCCCGCGGTGGACGGCCGGCTGCGCCCCCCGCTGCTGCACACGCTGATGACGCTGCCGGCGCTGCCGCGCGGCGGCGGCCTCTGCCCGGCAGCTGTGCGGGCCGAGCAGCTGCCGCTGCTGCTCCTGCTGAGCCCGCTGCTGGTGAAGCTGCCCGCCCTGCTGCTGCTGAGGCTCCTGCTGAGTCGCTGCAGGAAGGCCGAGCCGCCGGCAGGCAGTGCTGGCGACAGGGGTCCCTCCTCGTCGTTTTGCTGCTGCTGCTGCTGCTGCTGCTGCTGCTGCTGCTGCTGCTGCTGCTGCTGCTGCTGCTGCTGCTGCTGCTGCTGCTGCTGCTGCTGCCGACCGGCTGCCCCCGTGCAGGTGTCACCCAGCAGGTCTTTTGCAAGCTGCGCGTTGCCACCCACAGCAGTTCCTTGCTCAACGCAAATGGCCCGATCCCGGCGGCACAGCCGGGGGCTTGCAACCATAAAAGGCGGCCGCTCTGCTGAGGGGGGCGCCGGCACCGGCCGAATCTCTCCAGGAGGGGGCAATGCCGCTGTTCCAGGCGTGGAGCCGGGCTGTGAGAAGCTCTGACGTGCGGGCACAGGCTGCAGAGCATGGAGTGGGGATGTGGCAACGGCGAGCGCCTCCGCCGCAGATGGCGCATCCTCGCAGCGCGGTTGTTCGGCTTCAAGGGCCATTGCTGGATCACAGGACATTGCGCAGGCCCCAGCAGTGGCGGCGACGTCGTGCGGGGAGCCAGTCTGTTCCAAGGGGCAGTCGACCTGATGCCACCACGGCTGAGGTTCGCTACTGCCGGCAGAGGAATCCATGCAGCTGCCGTCCTGCTGCTGGCCGCCCTCCAGGGTGCTGACGCGAAGCTTCCGCCAGTACAGGCCGGCCGGTGCTGGGCTGCTACCGCTGGTGCCTGGCGGGCTGTCCCCACTGCCGGTGGCAATTCCGGGTTGATAGGGGTGCTGCTGCTGCTGCTGCTGCTGCCCCGACAGCTGCTGTTGCTGTTGCTGTTGTTGCCGCCGATCGCCTTTCACCGGCCACGGCCGGTACGGTGCTGGAAACACATCAATAAACCGTAGGTGAGGCAGCGCTCCGCGGACCTGTCGTCAGTGGGCATGTGCGCACAGGTCGTGCGCAAGATGAGCGCTGCGCGGTAGCAGCGCACGCATTTCTGTGCCACGTGCTAGCGTTGGCCGCCGGGTGCTGCCTGCGGCGCTGGTGCGGCAATTGCGCAGCCAACAAAATCTTCACAATCCAAACGTTGACCAATGTTTACAAGGATGCAACCATATATATCATAAACAAGCTCAGACGTTTGAGCTCATCTGCTGCGTGCCCACCTGCTGGGGGTACATCGGCTCTGTCGCCACAGGGTTGCCCGCCAGCCGCAGCGCGACCAACGCGGGGCAATCTGGATACACGGCACATGCAAGGCGGGGGCCAGCGCGAGTGGACCAGGTGGTGAATGAACAGGCGCAACACGCACTTGGGCCGCCGCCACTGCACGCGCCCGCCTCACAGGGGGCGCCTGCCGGCCCCGGCCGAACAGCGGCCCCGCGACTGCACGCACGCCTTTGCAACAACAGAGCCCGAATCTGGATCAGGTTTGGTCACAACCCTCACCCTGCAGGAAGATGAGCATGTCTGGGTCTGCCACGGCGTTCGCCTCAAGGTCAAGGGCTTCCAAAGAAGCCAGGCCTGCACAGCACGCCGCCGCGCGTGCGCCCCAGCGTGGCGTCGCTCGTCAACGTGTTGCACGAGAACGTGGTGCGCCCCCGGCGGGCGAGCGAGGCAGCAAGCTACCATTCCCAGGCCGCGAGCCCAGCACAGGCAATCAACGACCCGCCGGCCGGCCGACATGCAAAGCATAGCACGTGCGCACACACCTGCCAGGGGGGCCAGGTCGCACACCCGGTTGTGCGGCGCATGCAGCTGCCTGAGGCGCAGCAGCGCGCCGAGCCCCTCCAAATCCTCGAGGCCGCAGCTGGCCACGCGCAGCACCTGTGTGCGGGAGCACGCCCACGCGCGCGCGCGGCCGCACAGGCAGACGGATGGGGAGCCTGTGCTGTGAAGGGCTTGCAGTCGTTATGTTTGCGTGTTGGGCGGGCGTGCCTCGCTCGCATGCTGTACTGCTGCGATAATGGATTCCCCCTCAACCGGCTGTTGCTACTGCATGATGGTCGACAATCAGAACGACTGCATTGGTTTCCAAGCAGCTGCAGGGGGAGGCAGGTGTTGTGTTGCGGGCACCGCGCCACCTGAAGGTTCGAGGCGCAGCTGCCAAGGCCGTAGTGCCGCATTGACGCGCCTGCCAGCGCAGAGCCGCCGCCGCAAGTGACGCCGAGCCATTCTAAGTGTGGGAGTGCCTCCAAGGCGGCCTCGAGGGGCAGCTGCTCGTCGATGTGGACGATGGCTGCGCGCACCCTGGAGAGGTCCTGGTGCGGGGCGTGCGGCAAAGCAGCTTTGGCACGGTGCCAGCAGAGCGCAGCAGCGGGCAGTGAGCATGTGCACGGCCGTGCGTGGGCGGGTTGACTGTTTGACCATGGTTGTAATGGTGGCTCACGTCGGTCTGAAGAAGCCTCTTCAGAGCGCCTATCCTGCTCTGTCGTTGCCGCACTAGCGCATCCATCGCTGACAGAGATCGCGAGTCCGCTACCAGTTCGCTTACGCGGATACTGTACGCGATCTCGGCATAATATCAGAAAATGTCGTGTCACCCACGGTAGTTGACGGAATACTGTGCGCAGATCTGCAGCAGCTCGAGCTGCACATCCGCTGCGCATGCTTGCACCGCAGTCCAGAAGTCACCACGCACTCAGCTCAAGGTACTGGGCGAGTTCAATCAGATTCAAGGCAACAGCTAGAATTGAGGAGCCACAACAGGCGCCGGCCACACATGGGGTGCATCGCGTTGCTGGATGGGGTCCGTTGACTAATTTTAGTGTGCATCGTGCGGGAGCGCCACCAAATACCACTGCTGGAAGCTCACCACCCCTTGACCTTGCTCAAGGCCCTGAGCTTCCCGACCATGTCTTGTCTGAGAAGCAGCTCTTGTCTGATCGGTGGCCTGGCCACCAGCTGTATTTGTGGGCAAATGGGGTGGCCAGTCATGGGGCACTGCCTGCGTGGCGCTTCCAGGTCTGTGGGTCGGGTGCCGAGATCCAGACGCAATTGGAAATCGACCGTGACTTGTGGTGGCAAGGGGATCGCATGACAGCGTGCGTCAGTCCAGCGCCATGCTAATTAGTCCACAGTACCCACTCGACTGGTGCTCTTGCAGAGTGAGGTTTGGTATCAAGGGGACATCAGTGCTGAGCATGTGGCCGCCGGGATATTACCGCAGGGTGGGGTTGAGCATTAAGACATTCAACGCTCTAGATGTCAGCAATGCCACTGATACGAGACAAGCTGGATCAGAGGTATGGCCACGTCCGGCTGCACTTGAACCACTGGCCGGCGGGTTGCAGTGCACATTGCAGCACGCCGCCGATTGCCACGTGGTGCTGTCCTCACTTGCGGCACTCAGCAAAATCAGACATGTATCTGATTGCACACTGTATACAAATGGATACCTCTTCCCATTTCGTAGGCCACAATACGGGAAATAATTCTTCAGTCTAATCTCCCCTCATCCCCGACACGCTCTGCTCTCTTGACAATTCACGCTACGTTTTGGCATGTACTGCGCGACGCCCCAGCCGTCATACAGACGCCGTAATAGCCCCTGCATGCATGCGCTCCGGCAGTGACGCCACCGCCACACCAGTCTGAGCGCATCTCCCACAACACAATCTGCCAGCTCCGGCCGCCCTGCTTCGCGGCAACGGAGCTTGCCACTGCTGACACACATGGAGATTGATTTTGGGCCAAACGGCATCGCCCCTATGGATCCTGACGACGCCGGCGACTTGGACGTGGGGTCCACGCCCCTGGCGCCGCGCCGCGAGCCCATCGCCGCCATGGCCCCCGCCGGCGCCCCTCAAATTCCCCTCACCCAGCCGGCCAGCACCCAAGACCGCGACACACCCTTGGAGGAACACGACGCACCAGACCGCAGCGGCGGCGGCGACGGCGGGGTCGAAGACCCCGATCGGCCCGCGGCGCCGCCCCCCGGCCCCGCCATCTCATCCCACCTGGCGCGCCTCCTCGCAGCCGCGCCGGCGCCGCCGTCCGCCGTGACCGGCGCACAGCTGCTGCTGCTCGCGGCGCACGCAGCGATGCTCGAGACGGGCTTCGCGCCGCGGCGCGCCGGCGGCGGCGGCAACCCTTCCGCTGCTGCAGCTGGCGGCGGCGGGGACAGGGGTGTCGGTGCCGACGCCGCCCCAGGCGCCGCCGCTGCGGCGGCGGCAGACGTGGAGGCGCTGCTGAGCAGCGCCGTGGGGGGGACTTACACCATGCGCTACTCATTGGAGCCGAACGGATCGGACGGCCCCGCCGTCGCAGACGCGGCCCGCGCGGGCGCGACCGCCGGCGGAGGGGGCGCGGGTGCGACGGGCGAGGGGGCTGGGGAACCGGAGGTCGTTCTGAGGTGCATGGATCTGGGGAGCCACTTTTTGGTCGCGGGCGCCGTGCTGAGCGGCGGCGGCGGCGGCAGCGGCGGCGGCGGCGGCGGCAGCGGCGGCAGCGGCAGCGGCGGCGGCGCACCGCCCCTCAAGTCACTCAGCCTGGGTG